CCCCAAAACCCCAAAACCCCAAAACCCCATTGCAATAATTTAAGCCAATATTAAACGTTAATTGAAAAGCAATAAGTTCTTAATAATTTGTCATATGTCAATAAATCAAATTTTTTTAACAATAAATCCATGTCTGAGTATAAACTTCAGTTCTTAATCTTGTATAATTCAGAGTCTAGATGAGTCATCATAAAATAGCTATCTGAAACAAACTTATAATAAACTGGCTTGAATTTGAAATGAGACCCTGTTGCTACCTTTACAGATTTCTTCCTATAAACGCAATAATTGCTGACCGTCTTGCTGTTGCTTATAGTTCCTCCCATTGATACTATCATTCTTTCAATTAAAGATTGAGTCTGATCATTTTGTCTAGTTAATTCTACTTGATAGTTAAATTCATTAAGAAAGAATTTTATTTCCTTAAAGATTTCTTTTTTATACTCATTTAGTATCTAAGTAAAAGTCTTTTCAGGTTAGAGTGTGAACTATCTAAGATATAATTTAGAGATAACTAATCCAATGTAATAGAGTTAGTTTAATTCACCTTATTTATTTACATCCTATATAAATAATTGAATGATTTGCTTGATATGATAATTACTTAGTGAAATGTTTGAGTTTCAGGGTGCAAAGAATTATTGTCTATCCCCCATACTTTAGGATAATTAAAGATTATGAGAGTTTAGGTCCTCTAAGGTTCACTAGTCATTTCAAAGTTCTTCATGAATTTCATGCTAAGAATAAATTTCGCTATAAAAATGTTTAATAGAATACTTTTAATTACACTGTGAGCTATCCTTTACTGCCATCACTTAGTCATCAATGATAATGCAGTTTTCTTTGTCAAACATTTTATCTTGGGAGATCTTTTACTTGAAATCATTAATATCTTTTTGCTTAAGTTAAAATTCCTTTTGCTGATAGTTATCCTTTGGGGCTATTACAGTTAAATCTCAATTCTTGAAGAACTTTTCATTAGGATCTAGTAGGTGAAGTACTTTTAAGATGTACTCTTCTAAGCCATGTGAATAGACAAATAAATTGCAGAACTCACTTAAAAACTCTAAAAGTTGTATAGCCCCTTGTCTTACTATAACAATCAACTCTTATGATTTTTCTATAAAATATGAAGCATTTTAATTAATTAATAATCTAAATAAGATATCACTGTTGAATAATGCAAGTTTTCAGTAAACTCAACTAAAATTATCGTATGAAACTAACCTAGTTTTATTCTTGGCAATAATTGATTTTGAGCTAATTAAGGGCATTAATCAGCATTTATAGAATAAACTAATGTGTGATCTATGTCAAAGATAACATTGAGCTTGTTAGCATATCCTTTATCTGATAGGATTTCAGGCCCACATTCCCCATTATAAATCTTTGTAAAGATGTAGAATCTGAAGTCTTGGATCGAAAGTTCCATTTCTTTTGCTGCTTTCTAAATGTTAACTATAATCTCTTCCTTGCTTAATTTTTCAAACTCTTTAGTTATATAATTAATTCATTTTATTTTCTAATCTTACTATCAGAGTTGCCAGAGTCAATTTGCATTCTTTCCATTAAATCACTATTTTTGTCAGAAAATACAATTAGTACGTTTAATATAATTAATTATATCATTCAATTTTTAATTTCAATAATTAAATTACTTTATCCAAATAGCGAATTGAAATAATTTGGGGTTTTGGGGTTTTGGGGTTTTGGGGATTG